CGGGTGGATCCACATGGGCGCCTGGCGACGCGGATTGCACCACGCCCTCGGGTGCCACCACGACCGCGTCCGGCTGATCCTGGCTTGGCGCAGTCACGACCACCGTCACCGGCGGTATGCGGTCCTCGGCCGGCTGTTCCACGCCCGCCGCGGAAGAGACCGCTCGCTCAGTAACCTCCGCGGATGTGGGAGCCACCTTGGACGCCGTCGGTTCGGCCAACGCGGCCCCGACATCGGCACCACTCCTGCCCGAAATAGGGGTGGCTCCAGGCGACGCCGTCTGTCCCACTTGAAGGGCGAGACTCTTCTTGGGCGCCAAATTTCGGGGTGACCCGTCCGCAAGAACTCTGCGCAAAAGGTAATAACCATTAAGTCAAAATAAAAAGGGAAGAAGGATGAAAACAGAGGAATCAACAGCTTACATTGACGTCCCTCGGCGGCTGAAGCGTTTTGGGGATGGATCCCCGCACCCTACCTCGCTCATCCGGGCAGGACCGTTTCATGCCTACCCCCGCCCGGGCGGGGGGGTCCATCTCATCGGGCGCGCCCCGAGTCGCCTCCTCTCCATCGTCTCGTCGGGCGCGGCACCGAGCCGCCCCCTCCATCGTCTCACGGGTGCGGACCGAGCTGCTCCCCTTCATCGTCCGCCTCGGGGATGGCGGCGATAGGTTCGCCCTTCCCCATCCACCGGTCCTCGGCCGGCATGCCGTGTGAAGAGGCGGACTCGCCGGCCTCCACTGACCTCATCGATTCACTTCCCTCCGCGTGAAAGGCGAAGGGCCCCTACCTGGTGGGTGGCCACTTGTCGGCGTCTCCTCATCCTCCAGGGGCGCCCCAATCCACGTCGACGGCTACCTCGCCGTCGCCGTCATCATCATCATCATCATCGCCATCCTCACTGCTCACGCCCTCTCCCGATCCCGTGCCTCCCCGCTTGATCGTTTTGCCTTCTTCATCTCCTCCTTTGCCTCCTTGTCCCGCTCGTCGCATGAATTCGCCGCCGCCACAACCTTGTCCTTCGGCGGTGAAGGGCTGGCTATCCTGAAGACTAGCCCCCTCGGCTAGCCCCAACATTACGAAGCAAGTGTTAAAAGAGGGAGATTCAGGAGAAAGAAAAGAACGCGGGAGAAGAGGGCTTACTTAATTGAAGAACCCAGTGCTCGGCCGCATTGGAGGATGCCCGGGCACCGGATACACGATGTCGAGGACCCTACCGGCGGAATCCTTCGTCGGCTCCGTCGCCTCCTTGATATGCTGTGCCACTTCCGAATAAGGGAGCGCCTCGTCAACGAGCACCGTCCCCTCGAACGATATCCCGGGCATCATCCGATGCAGGGGAAGCACACGCGCCATCAGTGGTGCCACCCTCCTCGTGTGGTAGGCGCCGATAATTCCCGACCCCTTTACACCCCGACCCTTCAGGGCATGGAGGGCGGAGAGAAGGTCGGAGATATGTTTCTTGTCTTTAGTCAGGACGCCCCAGCCCCACAACTCCGGAGCATCCACAATAAGACGTCCGGTGTACTTCCGGTGGGTGGCACTCACATCATCCTTAACATAAAACCATCACGAATGCCATCCCTTGTTGGATGTAGCCAGACGACGCATGTACGGGTAACCTCACGACCGGGTATGGCGCAGTGAATGCCGGCACACCCCATCGGCGCATTCACTTCTTTCCCCCCCAATCTTCCTCTTGACGCACTAATGCTAAAGAAATACCGCCACAGAGATCAAAATGGGGATCGATCCCGTGAAACCTCTACATGCAGGGCACATTAACGCCGCCATATGTTGAATCCCATTGGGAGTGAGATGTCGCAGCTCTACCTCATAGTAATCTAATAGCCCCGAAGAAATCTATCGCGCTGGTACCCGAATCCCGCTCATGGAAGATGGCAAAGGAGACGACATACCCTTCAGTGCAAGCACCGGCTCACCTCGTCGTCGGGGAGTAACCACTCTGGGACGGCGGATAGTGGGCGGAGAAGGCCACGGCGACGACGAGGCCCTCCAGGGCACGCCGGAAGTGATGCTTGATCTCGCCCACAACTCCATTGAAGCAGGAGGGGGGAAGGGCAGGCACGAGCTTAACGGCGGCCGAAACACAAACGCAGGCCGGTCGACGGTGGCGATGCGGGCGCAAGAGGCTGGGAAGATTGGCGTGGATGTTTCAGAACGCAAAGGAAGGGGAGGAAACACGGGACCACAGGGCGAACCCAGCGGTTTTATAGGGGGCGACGGACGCGAGAAGGGCAACCGTCCGCCTCGATCTCCGGTTCGCCACGCCGCGCGCCACAGCGTCACGTCATGGGACACGCGCTGCCTTGATCCCTATCCTCTCATCCCAAAAATCTCGACGGACGGTCCGCCTTCCCCAAGCGAATCCGGACTCTCCACCCACCGGGAAGCACAAGCCACAAAGGCCCGTTTTTTTCTCTTTGGCCCACCTAGGGCCCAAAAGAACTCGCCGGCCGCCCAACTAAGAAGGAATCCACGAACAATCCGCCACCAAGGGCGTAAAGCACCAAAGTGAGGACGGCCCGAATCAGTCCCGATAGAACGGGACGCCACGACCCACTCGGAAAAACACCTAGTTGATGAAAAATTAAGTCCTTCACCTTACCCACGAAGGGGGAGATACAACCCAGGCGACTCTACTCGAGTCACCCGGGGCTCGGTTAAACTACACCCCTTGGTGCTTTCTGCAAGCACCCCCTCCGCAAATTAGCTTCAACGAAATCAAAAACACCCTCCAGCGGTTCTACCCAATCACCGGAGTCTCGGGGCTACTGTCGGGGACCTAATACCGGTACCCCCTGAAGGTGGAACCGATGACCACCGAACGTGAAAAACTTCTAGATGCATAAGGGCTCCATGTCATCCCTTGTTCGAGTGACAGGAGTTCGGTTCACGCCTCCTGACGCCTTGAGGGCGGGCTCGGTCTCGCCCGAGGGCCGAGGGATGAATTCCGTCTCGCCTGACCCCCGGGAGGGGCGGGGTCGACCTACCCGACGCCTTTGTAGGATAACCCCGCCTCGTCCCAAAAGCTCAAGGCTAATCTCCGTCTCGCCTGACGCCTATAGGGCGGGCTCGGTCTCGCCCGAGGCCGAGGATAAACTCCGCCTCGCCTGACGCCTTGAGGGCGGGCTCGGTCTCGCCCGAGGGCTAAGGGATGAATTCCGTCTCGCCCGACCCCGGAGGGGCGGGGTCAGCCTCACCCGACGGCCCAGAACGAGCCTCATACGATCGATATCTATCCCTCATAATGATGGGTACAGGGCGAGACAAGACGTCCGGGTCAACCATGGCTCCAACGACCATACCTCGCGCCTGGCGGCAGGAAAGGACCTGCCAGGAACGACAGATCGAAGCTTTAGACCCTTCCGGACGCCTGCAGAGCCCAAAAGGTATTACAGTGCGTGCACCTCACCTCAGAGAGTTGTAGGCGCCGCCTTCAGCTCTGGGACACGGAACCCGACGAAGATATCGACAACCGCTACGCTCCGGAAAGGATTTGCTATCTCCACGAACGATGGGTATTCCGTCACCACACGGTGGACCCGAGGGGAGCGGCGCCCGCTTCCCGACCCCTCGGTCCTCCCAAATGTAAGGCCTTGACCACGGCGTTACACCGGACCCCGACCCGCATTCTCCCAACGAGGACTCATGAGAACCGTAAGGCGTCGCGCGGAGCAAGCAAGGTGGGGGAGGCTCATAAGTCAAAACCATCATCTCAGCCCATACCTGCCTAGTAGGCAAGATTCTGTGACTAACCTGACATCCTACAGAGACATCGACAACATTGTAAACACTTATCTTCCTTCGCACTCATCAGAGTGGAGGACCTGACCAGGTAGACGTGAGCCACAAGACTAAGTAGAGTACGCTGGCGTCTGAGCCCTTACCCTTGTAAAGCCGGCCCCTTCATCTATAAAAGGGGATGCGCTTCTTCCATCAAGGGGGACGGAAGAAAAAGGAGGACAAAACAATAGAACGCACTCACACACATTCAAGCAGCTACGAAGCTCTTGACCACCTTTCAATCCTTCGATCAGAGACTTGGGACCAGTCCCTCTCTCGGCAGTTTGTATCCCTTACTACAGATCGTTACGGTGCTAATAACACAAGCAAAGAAACAAAGCGGGCGTAGGGACGTTTTCGCCAACCAAAGATAAATCCTGTGTCCTTTAGCGCACCATCCGAGCCTAACGCGCATTACTATAAATTCACTTGCCGGTGCTTGTACGAAACACCGACAGTCTTCATACATATGTTGCAAGTGTTGTATCTGGGTGTTTTAAAAGTAGATCGGGTGTTACATTTCTCTCCTCACCTCGGTGTCTCCTCCTCTTCTCGATGCTGGTGATGTTCGGACAGCGTGGGCTCACGTGGGGGCAGGTGGCGTGGGTGGGGAACGAGTCGTTCGAGTGACGCGGAACCCGAGCGAGCGGGACGTGCGACACAGAGCGGGCGCGGGGCGCAGCGTCCGGATGTGGTCCTAGGACCGGACGTCCTGGCGCTATCCAGTCCCATTTAATAATTAGCATGAATCGAACCCATCGAATAATTGCTATGGTGGGTAATTGGATTTCCCTTAAAATATATGCTAATTTAATGCGATTTCGATTGGTCGGTTCTTGTTCTTCAAACCAAAATCAATCCCGTCAGTGCTGAAATTGATTTAACATGAGATGAATCAAACCTAGGACTAACCAAATTGAGGTCGCATGTAGCAAAATTGAGCGCATAAGCAGTAGAATTTTTAGCTTGCACCTTGGAGGCAAATTTCTGTACTGTATTGAGCGCATAAAAGGGGAGAAGAAAGAGATGGCGAGGCTCAGAACCGAACAGCTAGTCCTAGCTTTGCTTTGCCTCTCCTCATTTGGCTAGGCAAGTCAAGCGAGGCGAGGCGAGGCGAGGTGAAGCGTGGATCCAAGCATGCATTTTCTTCCAAAACCAGTTAAATAACGATACGCGGCTATCTACAGTAATAAACGATGCGGTGCGGCCATCCACCGTAATAGCTGATACACCTGTTCAGAGGCATGCGCCACTCAACCTCCAGGTCAAGCCCCTTACCATTTGGTACAGACTACAGAGATAAGAAAAAAAAGGGTTGAAACTTGCAGTTATTAGTAAGTGAATTGTATGTTCTAACTTTAAGATTGAAAAACATCAAGAAGAGAACCTTCTAAAAGAAATATCATTGGTTGAATTGCTGACATTCTTTGTATAATGTCTTTCCCCCTAGGTACCAAATATCAACTTTGGCAACAAAGCTTGCTGCTATTGCTGTAGCTTTTATCATGCCTCAGGTTGCCATGCTTCTACTTCTAACCTTCCTTTAAGCTTCGTTACTCATTCCAGACAGAAAGACATAAGCATAGCAAGTCTTGTACATAGTATGTATTTTACTGATATTGTTACAGTACCTTGTTGTTTTCAGATATAACTAATTCAACTGATAGAACACAAATAAGTGCAATTATACTACAAAAGCTATTCCTTTACTGTGTTCAAAGTTACAATATACAGTTCCTTCCAGTCGCTTATGCATTGATACTTAATATTGCACCCTTTTTTACCCTTCTCAGACCTAGCTTGTTTATCTTTTTATTTCGTTTGAATTTATACCAACATGCATTCATCTTACTGATGATTTGTCACTGTAATTTTGTACAGCTGTTGTTTAATAGACAGTATCTTCATGCTCATGCCTAAATGTTTTATATTTCTGTACTATATCAGCAAAGAGATTGTTTATCTTAAGGATGGTTGGTCGGTTCATTGGATTTTCCCAGAAAATTCTGCATGCTTTAATATAAGAAGCATTACCTGACAAATCTGCACTGATTATGTTTTCCAATATGCAGGCTTTCAGGTGCACTGTAATGGTTCCTGAGCACGCTGTCCTGGCTGCTGGTTTAATTTTCCAGGTAAACACACTCGTAATTGTTTGATTCAATCCTAGGTGATTAGCCAATGTTGTAATGGGTATTGTTTGTGCCTTCTAGTACCTAGCTAGTTGTTTTTATCGATCATATAGAAGTACATTGGTACTTTCATGGGTTGTGGGGCTCAAAGTGCCTTGGTCAAAATACTAGAGTACTGCTTAAGGAAGTCTGAACATAAGTTCCCGAGGAATTGCGACTGCTATTGAGAAATGAACAAAAATTTCGTTCATACCTAGCATATTCTTGGTTCAATAAGAATTCTGTGTTTTTTTTATTCTAACTTGTTTGTTCTGTTCCATGATTTCAGAAATGGGTTCTGGAGCAAGCGAAGTACACCAAGGTGAAGTTTTCAACTTACATCTTTCACAACTAAAGTATAGGCAAATGATAAAAAACTGTTCTAAAAAGAAAGACTTTACTAATTAAAATTGCTAGCATAATCATTTTGCTTTTGCGCATGCGTACTCAGGTATTTTACTGAGACAAGTAGTTGCCACTCACTGTTGTTTTATGCATTCTGCTTTATTACTACAAAATGGCACAAACAAATGTTTTATGCAATCTGAAAGTTAAAGACCATTTATTCTTATGGTAAACATGACCATGCAATGCCTTAGACTCTGAAACATGGCTAGCACAAGTAAAAAGAAATTTCAATATAGCATGTAACGTATGCGAATTATCTATGTTAGTGCTTCAGTATGAAATGGCACCATTGGTATTACAATGGTTCTTTTTTAAATTGGTTAAGCCTTTTCTCAGAGTATCACATGCAAAAGCCTTTTTTTTTGTTTCAGAACCACTTGTGCCATCTTGCTTGTGACATAGATGGTTGCCTTCATCTGTTTGCAGGATGCTATCTCGCAGTACTACCGGTTCATCTGGAATCTCTTCTATGCTGAATATATATTGTTCCCGTTAATATAGAGAGGTGACTTTCCTGATTAGCATCCAGCACCCCTCTTTAAAGTCCCTTTGCTTCTGACATTTGTTTGCATAAAAAGTGTCAGATCTTGTAGTTCAGCATGGGCTGTAGTCTAAATCATGGGAGCAAATCAACAAAAGAGGGATAAGTTGGCAAAGTGCAGCCTTTTTGTGCATATTTTCAACGGAAACAATGGAAGAACGATGTTGCTATGCTAGGGTTCTGAGGTTGTAGGAGCTTTCGAAGCTTTTGCGATGCTGAAGGCGTTGTTGGAGCTGTGGAAGTTTTTTTTTTGGTTATATCAACAGTGTTGCATTCTGTACGGTCTTAGTTGGGATCTTGCTTGGTAGTGCTTGAGCCCATAGGTTGTTGAAGCTTGAGATCTGGTCCTGAACAGGTGGCGGTGGAGCGGCCAAGACAAGCTTGCTTCATGTCACTCGAGGCTGACACACGGAGTATGTGAGACATTGACGGCGCCCTCTCCCATGAAACACAGAAGACTACGGACTATATATTATTATAGTACAATGTGCCTGGCTTACTGCATATATTTGCTGAGTTTGATCTCGTAAATTTTGTTAGGGCTTGTTTAGATTGAAAAAAATTTCAACTCGATGAATAGTAGCACTTTCGTCTTATTTGATAAATATTGTCCAATCGTGGATCAACTAAGCTCAAAAGATTCATCTCGTGATTTCCAACTAAACTGTGCAATTAGTTATTTTTTTTACCTATATTTAATGCTCCATGCAAACGGCTAAAAATTGATGTGATGGAGAGAGAGTAAAAAAACTTGAAATTTTGAGGGTATCTAAACAAGGCCTTAGGAACCTCAGTCTTTTCCCACCGGCCACCGCTTGGAAGACTGAAACTTGTTCCATGTGTATGCCCGTGATATGTAAAAAAAAACTTGGCTCGCTCAAAGCTCTATGTTACAGAACTTTAAGCTCGATGGATCGGTGAGAAAGGTGTTGTATTTGCGAATTGCGACCTGATTTTCTGCATCATGGCAACTGGCTTCGTCCTTCGAACCATATGACAGCAACGCGGCAAAGAGGAGCAGCAGCATCGGCTGATCGGCAGTGGTTACACTTACACGATGCGGATGATGCTCGCGGCTAGCGCGCCGCGAGGTCAGGTCTCCGCTTGGCCACGGACTGTTGGACCACGATCCACGGGTACACGGCGCAGCAGACCGGCAGTCGGCAGTGCGACGAGACGGCTGTTCATCCGGAGGTCGTGGGAGAAAAGCCTCGCCTGGCTGGGCGATGCCGGCGAACGGGCCAGGGCTCGGAGCGAGCGGCAGAGGCACGGTCACTGCCACTACCCACTGGGTGCCTAGGGCAGGCAGAGGCAGATTTGTTGATCGGCCTGCCGGGTTGGTCCCGGCTGGCGTGAGAACGCACTGCCGCGTGCGGCCCAGCGACACGGACAGCCGAGACGTGCTGTTCCCAGCGCAGGAGGTAGGCTTCCCGGCTTCGCTGCCGTTTTCCCCGGAGCCATCATCACCGGCCGCACCAAACACGACCGGCCGCAGCTACTGCGGTGCCGTCCACGGTCCACCAACCTCTACCGCCCCCACGCCCACGTCGCGGTGGCGTCCGCGTCCGTGTCCGGTAGATCTATCTGCGGGCAGGATCTAGGCCCTGTGTAGTTCCACTTTATTTTGCTAAATTTTTCAAGATTTTTCGTCACATCGAATTTTTGGACGTATGCATGAAGCATTAAATATAAATAAAAAATAAAACTAATTACACAGTTTAAACGAAATCCACGAGACAAATCTTTTAAGCCTAATTAGACTGTGATTGGACACTAATTGTCAAATAACAACGAAAAACGCTATAGTTGCGTTTTGCAAAAAAATTCGGATTTAAACTGGGCCCTACACGAAAACCCGAATACACGTGTGACTGTCCCGCACGGCCAGGCCAGTTTATACAGCGGGCGACAGACACCAGGAAAGGACCGAGGACAACGAGGCAATGACCCTGATGATTCGTCTGGTTGTGGTTGACGGATGCGAGTCAACGTTACGGCCTCGGTAGCAGTGATTCCCGCACTCGGAGAACCATAACTCGGCTCGGCTCGTGCTTACCAACAAAACATGGGACGACGCAAGCTCGGGCACAGCTAGCGTCAGTCTCCATGCACCGAGAAGAGAAGACAGGGAGAGAGATCCGTTTCGCTACAGCCTACTACAGCCTAGTATACAGCTCCTGAACTGAGTACTCTCTGCTGAAATTTTGGAGCGCCAAAATGCAAATTCATCTTGAAGAAGCATGAGATTCGTTCATGTGATTTTGAAGCGGAACCGATCTTGCAGGCTGTAGCCCTAGACGGGAAATTGTCCGAGTATGAAATGGCCCGACTGCGAGTGTAAAGCTGAGCTGCGAAGAAAAGCGGAGCTCCGTGCGATTGGCCGTTGGCGGGATTGGCACGGCGGATACTGCGCCGGCATCTTGCTCGTGCCCTTTTCTTTCCTGCGACTTGCTGCTGTCAAAAATGAAAAATATCCCAATGCGTCAAAAATGAAAATAAAAAAATCTCCGTATGCCACTAACTTTAGTTTCAGTTTTCCCCTCTAGTGAAACTGGCACAGACTTCATCAAGTTATGAATTTGCATCTTACTGTACTATATACTACAATGTGTATCGGGGAGAATTTGTGAATTTCTAATGGCAGTTATGCTTGTCAGCAGCAGTACCTAGTTTTTTTACACGAGGCATTTCAGAGTTTAGAAGAGTGGATCTTTATGTCGCATATAGGGAAAAAAGAACGAGTCGAGTGGATCTCGCTATGAAACATGTCCCATGTGTCCTCCGACACAGCTAGTGCACACTTGTATTAGTATGGCTCAAACGATAGATTAGTCCAATCATGCTTTTGGATTTTTTTCATTTAATTTGTACATGTGGTTAGGTACACATCTCGAAAGGATTACTGGCTTTTTTTAACTATGGTATAGTGTTTTTCTTTGACAATAAATCAGCGAACAGTATTTTTTAGTCTAACTTTTTAGTGAATCGAACATGCCAAAAGGGGCAATTGGAATGTCGCTTCAATGGTTCCATCGGATGTTGGTAAAAGAGCTTACTGTCTTTTCTTCTGAATGGAAACCGTTGATCCATTTTAAGCGATGGAAGACATGGTGTTCCATCCTTGGAATGGAAAAAAAAATACAAAACAGGGTGAATTTTGGATCATTAATTTTCTTTGGGGACTTTGTTACTTGTGTGGTTTGGACTAGTTTCTCACATACATTTAAATTTTTTCGGCGAAAGTACCATACATTATAGTTTTATTTCAAAGGAAGAACTTTTTTCCAAGCTAGGAACTTTTTGTTTCAAATACTGTATAGATGACACAAATGTGGCTGGCGAGCCTCCACAGATGTGTTTTCCTTTGCTAGGGTGGCAGTAGTATAAAATTTCCCAACCATTGCAACATGTGCAACATTCCGATTTATTTTTGCAACATCCATATGAAACACTTGTAACATACCTCTGAAACATCTGAAACACTTGAAATATATGCTTGCAACATGCGGTTTAAGCGCAACATCTTCGTGCTGCTTGGGAGAATGGAGGCTCGTCGTCGTGTGGAATTCATTGGCGTCGAGCTTACCGGTGGCGCGGAACTCGCGCGCTCTGGTCGAGAAGGCCGGGGTAGGTCCGGTGGAGAACATCGTGGCGGTTCTCCTCACCGTGCGGGTGGAGCGCGAGCTGTGCGTGGGCGAGTTCCATCCCGGTTGTCGTGAGCTGCGCACGGGCGAGTTCCGCCCCAGCCATGGCGACCTGGGCAGGCGGAGCGCGAGATGTGTGCGGGCGAGTTTCACCCTGGCTGTGCGCAAGCTGGGCAGCCTCCACCCCGGCCGAGATGAGTGTGAGCAGCCACGACGAGCACGGGATGAGCGCGGGTGGAGCTTGCGCTCTGCTTTGGTGATTTTTTTTATAGAAACTGCGGTGACGAGCGGATGCAGAGGGGATATTTGGGCTCGGATTGCGGCCCACCAAGGAAAGCGTCCGGGCGGACGAACGGCCTATTCCAAGAATTACTGAAAATGTATGCATGCGTGCCTCTAATATAGAGTAGATTTATTTATTTATAGAAGCTTAAAAAACATGCATATATTTAGATACATGTGTGCATACTTGGTAAGAGTATTTGTCATGAATGCATGGATCTTATATAAAGTTATAAACCAACCCACCTGTCGGTGCGGGACCCACAGAATACCCCGCAAGGAGGAGAGAAGATCTAGTCTAACTATGATTCTCCATATGAAATCTTAGTAGTAGTATTATCCTATAATCCTACTAAGAAATCTCATTGTAAACCGACTAGGATTCTGACCTCCTAACTATATAAAGGAGGGCAGGGTTCCTAGAGACGGGAGATCACGATTTCTACAACACAATCAATACAACGCAAGGTCTAACGCCGACTGGACGTAGGGCTATTACTCGACCACGGTCGAGGGCCTGAACCAGGATAAATCGACTGACTCTTGCGTTCACCGTCGAGTTCCGCATACGCTGAAGCCTGAACAATACTGCCCCGGGGACCCCCGTGGCAGGCTATTGGTGGTCAAACATCGACAGCTGGCGCGCCAGGTAGGGGAATAGTGGGGACCCCCGTGGCAGGCTATCGGTGGTCAAACATCGACACCACCTTCCTTTAGTTAAAAAGCCACACCATCCTTCAGAAAAAAGAAAAATGCTTGGATTTTATTAAAAATAGCATCCACGGTCCCAAAAATGCTTAAATATTTAATTTGCTAACGTTTTTAGCACTGTACACTTATTAATATTTTGTTTCGGATAGTATTAGTGGAGGGAACTCTATTTAAATAAAATGAGCTAGTTGCAAGAATTACATTCAAGTTGAGCCTTGTAGAACAAGGATCTTCATGGTACAAACAATGTATAAACATTTAGTAGATCAAATTACCACGTCTTTAAACAAACATTTGTGGAATTAGATTTGTGAATTAAAATC